ACAGACCCATGACAGCAGACGCTATCAATAGCACTCTCACATTTACACATTTAATAGCACGCTCCTTAGTTTGTAAGGTGTAGGCAGGGATTACATTTAGATTTTATATGCACGTGTAAATGGTTTAAAACTTCCTTTCTTTATAAATCTCGTTTAATCTTAAAGTGCATTACTATATTTTTCAAAACCAATTACTTGTTAAAGTTTGTACAATCAGTGGGATCAGTTGCAATGCATATATGTGAATGATAAAAGTAAATTGCACATTTGTCGAAGGAAATGTAAGGTGCTTCATGAAATGTTTTGTAAAAGATATGTTCATTTAATTTCAACATTTTCCTAATGTTCTTGTGCTTCTTTATACCAAAACAAAGGAAAGACATATTGTTTTGGTTATTTATAGCAAAGTATGGTATCATTTTAATGGTCCGGCCCACTTGACAACTACCCAGGCCGTATGTGGCCCACCATGTGAAATGAGTTTGACACCCCTGGTCTAGATGGATACTTGTTGATCTACAAGTTATGGTCTAGTTGGACAGTCAAGGGGATTGGACATTGGACCTAGTAGGGAAGGACTAGTTGGACATTTGATTTAATAGGGAAGGAGTACTGTAATTGGATGACTAGTTGGACAGTGGCTCAATGGGGAAGGACTAGTTGAAGGGTTGATGCTCAACGTGATGCACATGCAGCCACAAATTGCCCCTACCATGGTTGGTGTGCGACAGGAAGAGCAGATCCTGCAGGATCTGGATGAGCGTGCACAGCTGTCTATCCTCCTGCGGGCTCCTGAGCCTGACCAGGAGCTTCCTCAGGCTCTCCTCCAGTTCCTCTTTGTTGTCCATCGCGTCAAAGGCGCCTCGGAAGGTCAGATCATGGTAGCCTCGAGGAGAGGTTCCGAGGGACCGCGCGGGCGCTACAGCCCGGCCGGCAAGAGGGACCGCGGAGGACGCTGCGAGTCACCGCATTGGCGCGCATGTCTCATTGAGAGACTGAGTCAACTTTCGCTCGCCTTCCTCTTTTTTTTTTGTCTTCGCTGTTTGTTTTGTGTGTGCGTGTGTGCGTGTGTCTGTGTGCGGTGCTCCTCTTCTCTCTGACAGACAGCCACAACCAGGCGTATGCTTGCCTCCCCCGATCACATCATATGACTCCACACAGGAAGAGGAAACAAACTTCCCGTCCGGGACAGGACTCAAACGAAGCGGTCGCCCAGGATTGTCTCTTATCTCCGATCACTTGCCCGTCATTTAAACTTGGTGAGTAACTAGTTTACTTGAAATATTGGCCTTTTTTTGTCTTGGTGGCGTTATGTAAATGACCGTTTAAAACTGTCAAGTGAACTGCCCCCGAACTGCCGCCCCCCCTTTCTATCTTCTACGTACGTCGGTGTCTGGTGACAGCCGCGATATGTAAAGCATCGGGATTGCCATGGCGCCGTACTGCAATGGAAAAAGCCACTATTTTTTTTATTTTGTGATTGATTGTGAGAATACATGAGATGCGAATGATTTACCATAACGGGTTGTCAAGCGAAATTAATGTTGCCCGTTTTAATTAGGTCTTATTTTATACCACGACGAAAATCGATGAGATCAATTGATAGATTTCCTCGTGTAGAAAAAATAAGTATTTCCTCCCCTTGTTCTGACATTATTATAAACTGGATTTCAAGTTCGTAGAAATATATCAACAGCACACCACTAACCGCCGTCCAGATGTATTCAAATAGCACATTGAAAATACATTGTAATGCCATTTTAAAAACGCAGCATGTAAAACTAAGCAACATTAATACAGTTGATTCTGCTCCAGCAAAGGCTCTCTTTTCCGTGCGTTTCAAATGTGACCTGGGAACGACCAGATTTTTTTCTCGAAAGTGAACGGGTTACAGCATATGCAAAATAATTAAACAAGGTGTGTTGTGAAGTGTGATATCGACTTTTTAATGAGCATTAAAGGAATAAAAACCCAACACATCAAAAGTCCAAATAACAACTGTTTGGAGCCTAAGCATGTTCAAAGGAGAATATGAATACTGTATTACCGCAAGCACTTGTAATGTGAAGTTGTCAAACAAGTTCGACAAGCTTGTCAATTTCTTTTCTATACAACACAAAAAGGGATGAACTTAGTGTGTGTGTGTGGGGGGGGGGGGACTTGAAATATCCAATTTGAACTTTACTTTAATCCAAAATGATAATTGTCATCAGTGTGGGGCGACCGTCTGTGTCAATTTGTTGAGTTTACTGTCATTTTTTGTGGCGATTAGCAGTATTATTCCTCATACATTAGTTATATTAATGATTAAAAACACGTTGCTGTTATTGGCACTGACTACGGATGAAAGAGGAAAAAGAACAATTGATTGGAGTAGCAGTGTTATGTTGTCTGCTCCCTGTGAAGTAGGGCCAGCTGGGATCGTGACATATTGTCATGGCCACATACATATCATGGCACCATTGGATTGTAAAATGAAAAGTTGGTGGGCGCACTTCAGTCTCGCTGAAGAACCATCTCTTTCATTCTGCAACAGCACTAAATGTGCATTCACACCCTGCCACAAACGGACTGCGTGTCAAAACAGAAAATTACCCACAACTTTGGTGAAATAAAACAGTGGCACAACAAAATGAAAACCGAAACAAACAAAAAAAACCCTACTATTATAATGTGAAAAAGAATTATGACAAATGCCTTACTAGGCATGCCGTATTTCCAGCGATGGATTCTTGTTATGGCTTGACCTTCAATAACTGCAATTTGCATGTTCTCAACAGTTTTCAGTTCAAATGGATTGATATTAATTCAAAGTAAATTAGTATTCTCAAAACAGTTTAGTAATCCTATGCAGACTTATATTGTATATAATTAACAGTAGTAGCCGGTAATTTCTACACAACAAAGTTCCACTTTTTTATGTATCCTGTTTCAGTCGACGCATGTGTATGACGTCACGGCGCGGTGGGGTAAGGAGGGTCGTATGATGACGTCGCACAAACATGGCGGCACAGCGACTCTCAGAGTCAGTCGTAGCAACTCGGCAGTAATAATTTAACAAAGTTGGCCAAAGTCGCCTGCTCCCCCACATTCCTTTTCCCCACGCACGACACGGCGCTCGAGTGAGTTTTTCCTTTGCAGCGGGTAGAAAACATTTGGGAAATTAACACGTTAGCTCGTTCAAATGATCGAAATTAGTGCGTCTGATTCTTCTCGAAAAAGCATGTTTGACGAGGTGGACGGCTCGTAAATAATGTCCGACAAGTGTCAAGTGAAGATTGGAGGTCTTTGTTGCACGCCCACACAGACTTGACAGCTCCCGAGTGAGGGACAGGCAAGGAAAAGTTGTTGTTTTCCGGCTGAGTTCGACCCCTTCTTCCCGCTTCCCATGTGCAACAGGCAGGATGATGAGTACAGCTTGACGGGCTTCAGCAGTAGCAGAATCGTCAACATGGGCATCAAGAATGACACTGCAGTAGAGGACGATGGTGAGCGGCGTCTCATCAACTCTCCATCATCGGACACCCTGTCCCGGAACCCCCCCACGCAGCCCTTTGTCTACGTGCTGGCCTTCTTCTCAGCCCTGGGTGGCTTCCTCTTCGGCTATGACACCGGTGTGGTGTCGGGAGCCATGCTACTCCTCAAGCGGGAGATGAACCTCAACACTATGTGGCAGGAGCTGGTGGTCTCCAGTACGGTGGGGGCAGCGGCCATCTCCAGCCTGAGCGGTGGCTTCCTCAACGGGCTACTGGGGCGCAAGAAGTGCACGCTGCTGGCCAGCTTCATCTTCACCTTCGGCGGGTTCTTCATGACGTTCGCGCCCAACAAGGAGGTACTGCTGGTGGGCAGGATCATTGTTGGCCTGGGGATTGGTGAGTTTATGTCGGGTAACCATAATCCTTGCTGAATTGCAAGATTTTTCACAGTTGGAGACTTTCCATGGCAATTAAAAGGATTTTTTTTATCGACAAGCTCAATGCTAACGCACAATACAAAACGCCATGCACAGGCTAAAGAATAGAAATAATGTCACAGTGTTATTGCCCTTTGAACACAAATGGTGCAGCAACACATGAAGTATATATTCGTTAGTCTCTGAAAAACAACGAATGTTACTGCAGCTTACTGAGGGAGGAATTCTTCCCACCAGGCGTGGCCTCCATGACTCTCCCCGTGTACATCGCCGAGGTGTCGCCCCCTCACATGAGAGGCCAGCTGGTCACCGTCATCACTGTCCTTATTACCGCCGGACAGTTCATTGCCTGCGTGGTGGACGGCGCCTTCAGTTACATGAAACGCGATGGCTGGAGGTAAGTACTGTTGACAAAATCAATGTTGTGGGCCAATGCTGTCAGGCTCCCGCAGTGCTATTTGTAACTGAACATACAGTCTCTACCTAATGTAAGTGCTGAAACAGACTGGTTGTAACTATTCACCGTAACATAAACAAAGATGCAAACAACATTGTGAAGTGACCGTCTGTCAGTCTCAGTTGAAGTCTGCGCACTCAAGAGACTGGGGCAGTTTGAAGGGCAGTTTCCATTCAGTGTCAGTTTAACAAAACATCGCGTGACGCGTGACTTTGTGTGTTGTGCTGCAGGCTGTCTGTTTTGGACGCCTGTTGGAAGCACCATCGTTTTCAAACTTACATGTCATATTTGAAAGTTTTCGCAAAACAAAACAAATTCAACAAACTGCAAGAGTCACTTGGACATTCCCTAAAATCAGGGAATGTCACAAATATTTGTTAACTGTCTGCCTGTGAAGACCTTTGAGATTAATTTGTGGTTAAGGTCTAACTGTTTTTAGCACACACGTATGAACAAAGTTAAAATGCCATAGGCAGTTATGTTATTAGCCTAACGATTAGCTTCTTTGCCTTTAAGATTAATTCACACTTTACTGAACTTAGTAATTACTTTCTGGAAAAACGTGTGGGACCACAGGCTATTGTGCAAGAATGTATTCTGGAGGAAATGTGACTGCGACATTCAAAACAAGCTTTGTGAGCTTTTTTTTTTTTTTTAAACCGTGGGAGTTTGATTTATTTATGCTGACACCAAACAAGCTTTGAAACATTTTTTTCCAGCATTAAAGGGCCATGTCATGTAATTTTAAGCTTTCCACAGTTAACTATAGGTCTAACCGGCAAGTAAGACACCTGACTGTCCCCGTGTGGCTGCCTCACCCCTTTCATGATGTCGTCCTTAAGCTGTCTGCTGCGCGCACTGCCAACGAAACAATAACGGACACTCCTTTTTATGATGTCATCCTTAAAGCCGTCTGCTGCCCGTACTGCGAAACGAAACGATCACGAACCCTGCCGCCCACATCACACGCCGCTCCGTTTGGCCCGGCACCACACCGCACAGCCTTCGTTGTTTTGTCGGAAAGCCCATCAAATGCGCAGAAGCTTTCACGTGTACTTTGTATATCAAAACAATTTTCCGGGGTTTAGCCGGCAATCCACAGCCGCCTGAGGTGAACACTACCCAAAGCCGCTATCCTCAAAGCGGGTGCCACAACCGTCGAGGTCGCAAAGCGCTGATGCTTCGCTCTTTCTCCTGGAGACTTCTTAAAACACTCTGCAAAAATGAGTGTTTCACTGGTGTCTGGTTTGGAAAAAATGGGTGTGTGGTTAGTCTGCACGAGCGATGCGGGGCTGTCTCCTCACTTTGTAATGTATAAAATTGAGGACGCAGTCGTTTTCTTGGATTGGGCGGAGCTTTTCTTGAGAAGCACCTAAGAGATGGGTGAATGTAGGAAAATGCTTCTTTGGAGGTGTTGTTTTTTTTAAATTTGTGACGAATTTGCATTTTAAGATGACTAAAAGCTCAAAAAAGTTGATTTTAGCATCATATTACCCCTTGAACGTCATGCTCACCTCCCACAGACATAATAGAAATGAATATTTGTTTTCCCTTGACAATAATGCAAAAAGGTGTTCCTCCTGTCTGTGTTGTTAAAATATGTATGTAAACACAAACTATAAGAGGGGAATCTTTTTTATGTGCAGTTGTAAAGGTGAGACAGGGCAACCTGCGCAAAATATTTGTTGCTCAGTAGCACGTATTAGCGAAGTGTACGTATATAATCGCGACATGTAAACTGGCACCATGTCTTTGGCATATTTAGCGCTCATAGCTCTGTGATTGCCTTCCTCTTGACTTGTTTTTGTCACACACGCCACAATGTGGTCATGACTCAGCGCATAATGACTGTTTCATAGCGGCAATTAAAGTCGCTAGTCGCCGTTTTGAAAAATAGTCACGCAACGTTGTTAGTGTACGCAGCGCATGTCAGCCGCGATGGGCTTTGACTTACCCAAGTGTTAAAAGAAAAAATGTATGAAAAGAATTGGACTGACAAACTAATCGCTAATCAGAATAAAGACAAAGTTAGCTTAATATTTGTCTGGATCTTCTCCCGTTGAATCTACGTCTTTCGTTGGTCAAGGTACATGTTGGGTCTGTCGGTGCTGCCCTCCATCTTGCAATTCGTGGGCTTCCTCTTCCTGCCCGAGAGCCCCCGTTGGCTTCTGCAGAAGGGCCGGCAGGAGGAGGCCCGCCAGGTCCTGAGTCGCATCCGAGGCTGCCAGGATGTGGATGAGGAGTTCGACTACATCAGGACCAGCATTGAAGAGGAGGAAAAGGAGCTGAGGGGAGGTGAGCTGGAGGCGATATCAGCATTCTTTCTGTTTTGTTTTGACATCTACAGTGAATATTCGCTATTGGTAAGGGTTAGGGACCAAAACCTGCTGTGAATAACAGATGCCCACCCATTATTATTTTTATTGACAAATAAATACATCATAAATATACTGTATCCCAAACTATGATTCCACAATATTTAAATGGCATTTAAGGCTCATGTAAAATATCTTCATTGGTTTCGGAACGTTGTCATCGAAATGTTGTATTGTGGGAAAAATTGAATTTTTGCAATGAAATCAGTTGAGCATTTTGTAGCTTTAATGGTTTGAATCGGTTGAATGATGCAAGTTGAAAACATTTTGAAAATGTAAATGTGTTTCTCGTCCAGGCGGGATCATTTTTCTGCGCATCCTCGGCCATGGGCCCACCCGCAGGGCTCTGATCGTTGGCTGCGGCCTTCAGATGTTCCAGCAGCTGACGGGCATCAACACCGTCATGTAGGTCCTCTCCCGTTTTTGTTTTTGGGGGGGGGGGGGGTAGCTCACTTTCTGGCGCCTTGTGTGAGCTTCTCCTCTTCTTCTAGGTACTACAGTGCCACCATTCTGCAGATGTCAGGTGTGCGCGATGAGAGGCGGGCCATCTGGCTGTCCGCCGTCACCTCCGGGACCAACTTTGTGTGCACATCCCTCAGCATCTGGCTTGTGGACAGAGTTGGGCGCAGAAAGCTAACGCTGGCCAGCCTCACCGGTGAGTTCTCACAGTGCATTACTCAACTGAACTCAACTCAACGTACGTATAGATACGATAATCCATTCTCAAAAGATTCGTTAGTGACAGCCATAATATATAGTTAATTAGGTGCTCCAAATACTCAGCATAGGTGATGAAAACCAACAAAATAACTACAATTAAAATTGAAAAAGCATTTTCATGAACAAAATAAAATAAAATGTTGATTTAAAAAAACCTGAAAATTTTCTTTGTGTTTATAAGAGTAATGATAATTATCGGAAAAATGCCCTCCATTTTCGGCGTCAATTTATTTCTTATTAGCGCTTTCAAGATTTATTTAAAAAAAGGCAAAAGTCAAAACGAAATAGAAACAACTGTGATGAAAATACCACACTCTTACAACTCTGGAGGAACGTGTCCAGTGTGAAGTAAATCGAAAGTACCTCGGGGCGGAGGCGTGGTGACTTTGCATTTTAACGGTTGCTGGCACGAAAGCCAAATTTAACCATGCAAACTTGGCAGTGGCCTGACATCTGTGAGAAAGAGGTCCAATTTTTCTTGTATTGTTTTATTATGCACTATGGTTGACATACTGCATATTGCACCAAGATGGAGTAATTCCCCTATTCTAAAACATACCAACATTCATTTTTTTACAATCTGAATTTGGTGGTCCAGTGGTTAGCGCGTCGACCTCACAGTGCAGAGGTACCGGGTTCAATTCCAGCTCCGGCCTCCCTGTGTAGAGTTTGCATGTTCTCCCCAGGCCTCCGTGGGTTTTCTCCGGGTACTCCGGTTTCCTCCCATATTCCAAAAACATGCATGGCAGGCTGATTGAACACCCAAAATTGTCCCTAGGTGTGAGTGTGAGCGCGGATTGTTGTTTGTCTCTGTGTGCCCTGCGATTGGCTGGCAACCGGTTCAGGGTGTCCCCCGCCGACTGCCCGAAGACAGCTGGGATAGGCTCCAGGCACCCCCCCCCGCGACCCTTGTTAGGATAAGCGGATCGGAAAATGAATGAATGAATAAAACTCCATTGTAGAACGCAAAAGCCATTTATCAACAACACCCAGAAACACAACGCCCCAACTTCATTGGAATTGGGTTTGAATGACCATATGTTGACACAAAAGGTCTCAAGACCGTACCTTATGCATCAATGATAATACTCTCTGCAATTTCTTTGAATTATTTGATTTTTATAGGTACCGCTCTGAGTCTCAGCGTTTTGTCAGTGGGCTTCTTGCTGGCAGCTCGGTACTCTCCCCCTGTTACACTGCATCCGCTCGACTCCCACAACTCCTCCTGCACAAAATACGGGTAAAAAACACATCCTCTGCCCCCAATGATATTGCTTTTTTTTTTCTATTATATACGTCTGGTTTCATTGAATCCGTGGTTGCTCTCGTCAGTTACTGTGGAGACTGCATGTTGAATCCCGCTTGTGGCTTTTGCTACCACGAGAACAGCAGCGGTGTTTTTGACTCCACCTGCCTGCCCGTCAATCCAAAGACCACCGAGCACTCGGCGTGGGGCGGGTAAGTTGTGATGTTAACGTAGATTTTTGATGGAAACTTTCAAAAGTGGTATGTATTGAACAACAATGCTCATTTATTTACTTTAATTACATTTTCATCTATTCAGTTGAAAGCTGTTTGGTGACTTGATTTGTTGTTGTTGGTGGTGGTGTTTTTATTTATTTATTTATTTTTTTGCGATGTCATTTCTACAGGTGTGCCAACCAAACGGAGACGCTAGAAGGTCCATTCTGGGCCTACAACTTCTGCCCTACGACTTACTCTTGGATTGTACTGACGGGCCTCCTCCTCTACCTGACTTCTTTTGCTCCAGGTCTGCAAACACGCTTGTAAAACAATCAACTTTTTCACCATGACGTCACAGGATGTGCTTGCAGGTGGCACCACCTCAAGCATTCTCCAAAAACAACCCATTTGACATGTCGTTTAACTGAGGCGGAGCAATTAAAGAAAAACGTGAGAATGGCTTAAATCATGCTAGGTTTGAAGAGTCAGTCGAAACTATGATGCTACATAAGTTAAATTGCAAAAAATGGAACGCCGTTTTAGCAAGTAGGTTGATTTTTAAAAAAAACTGTCATGGTTTGTCTACTGTCATACATTGTTTAAAACGTTGTAAAAACAACCAAACACTGAATGGGACTTTTTGTGTGTCAGGAATGGGTCCCATGCCGTGGACTATCAACTCTGAGATCTACCCACTGTGGGCCCGCAGCACTGGAAATGCTTGCTCAGCCGGAGTCAACTGGATCTTCAACGTCGTCCTCTCACTCACCTTTCTTCATATCGCAGAGCTCATCACCTATCAAGGTAATTGAAGATGCTGTCAAACATGGATTGCGTTCAAAGTTACCTTTTCGACAAATAGTAGGGTTTCAAATTAGGCTTTCACAAGGCTTCGGTTAGTTTCTAATTTTGATAACGGGCCAGTGTGAGGGACCAGAGTTTAGAATTAGATTTTTAGACAGTGTTAGGATTTTGAATCTGGGTTCAATGTTTGAAGTACAGTTTCAAATCGGGGGAACAAGATGGTTTTAAATGAGGGCATCAAGCCACTTGGGATTCCAAGCAAGTGTTTGAAATTAGGTGTTAAAGCCATGGTTATGTTTTTTCTTTCAAATCAGGGTTTAAAGCCTTGATTGGGGTTTGAAGTTAGGATTCCAAGACAGAGTTAGTGTTTGTTTCCAAATAGGGTTTCAAACAAATGGTATTCATGCCTGGGTTAGGGTTTCAAGACAGAAATGTTTCAAATTAGGGTGGGTCCAAATCTGGGGTTTGGGGGTTTTAAATCAGGGTTTCAATTTAGGCTTTTGAAATGTTTGAATCTTAGGTTTGGCGTTCAAATTTGGGTTTGGGGCTTCAAATTTGTGTTTTTCAAATGGGACTTAGGGAGGTTTTGTGGATCTTGGAATTAACCCAATGCGTTCCCTGCCAGGCATCTTCTTCGTATACATGGGTTTCACCGTGCTGGGCCTGCTATTCGCATTCGGGTGCCTGCCCGAGACGCAGGGCCTGCAGCTGGAGGACATTGAGAACCTGTTCACGGGACCTTTCTGCTCCTGTGGCACCTCCTCACACCTCACCAATCAGAACATCCAGTACATCCGGGTAAAGGGAAACAATTACCTCCCATCCGACAACGACACCTCCGACATAGACTAGAGTGTGGCGTTGGGATTCTGGCTTTTCCTGTCTGGCTTTTTTTTTTTTTTTTTGTAAAGACTGTTGCAGCTCAGAGGAAAATCACATACTGCCCTCTAGTGGTGAAGAGCATAAATTGAGCAAAATTTGCACCTATTGATTTGTTTTTCTTTCTTTCTTTTTTGTGCTACCCTCCTACTCAGGCAACTCTGATCAGTCTGTGGCTTCATTTCACCCGGGTACGACTTTCCTCTTACATTCTGTTTAGTTACTGTGGATGGATGGACGGACGGATGGCTAGATAGATAACTGTACGTACATACACAAACACATAAGTGGTAGTGGTAGCGCCATCTGAAGGTACAAAATTAAGGTGCATAGTGTTAACAGTACAGACTTGAGGGAATGGAGGAGGAATCATTTTCTCATTCTGGATCGTACATGATCCATGGATTGTACATGCTTGTTCATCATCTTCCTTTCGGCCACAGGTGTCAGGTGCCCCTTCTCGCGCCCGGCGCAAAGCAAAAGATGCAGGGTCTCTTTGTGGACTCGCTGCTTGATCCTCTGACCCTCATTGACAGTTTTGATTTGAAGTATATATTTGCCACACCAGTTTAGTCCGTCGGCCAGTTTCTGCCGATTTTATAGTCTACGCCCTGGTGAAATGCTGTCTTTTCCAGAGTGGTGTGATTCAAGTCGCCGCCTTAAAGTGTTATGCTTGAAGTTTCAAGAAAACAAGCGTTTGACAAACACCACAGGATTATGGCTGTTTTTCATGTGACGGTAATTCATGGTTCTCAGCCTTCAGATAACAAAGCACGACAGTTGGGGTGTGAAAAGCCACAGAAAGATTACTTTATTACTTTGACATTATTCCTGGCACACTCCACCAACACAAGAGTACTCTCTGTTTTGGACCAATGCCTTATTATTTTAGCCACATTTCTAAAATATGGTTCAAGCCAGGGTTATGGTTTCAAATTAGTGTTTCGGTTTTAGATAACCAAACATGACAGTTTTGCTGTTAAGCCACAGAAACACTATTCCTGATACTATTACTTTATTACCGAACACTCCATCAACATGATAAGAGTACTGTATGTTTTTGGACCCGTGCCTTATTATTTTAGCCGCATCTCCACGAGCAGTTCTGATCAGTATTGTACGGCTGGACCTAGCAGTATGTCGCATTTGAGGGAACTGATTGGCAGGCAGACAAAACGAAAAAAAAAGACAACAAAAAAAAGCTTGTCATCTTGCAATTTATGCGGCGCCCCAACAAAAAAGTGCCGTACCAAACTGAAGCGTATTCCTCGGTGGAGATAAGTTTTTTTGTTGTTTTGTTTTTTAAAATGCATTCCTGGGTTATACTCATGTTTTGGTGCTTGGTGGTGCACTTTACAAAGCCATTCTATTTTATTTTACTGCTTTAATTGTCTGACTAAAAGTGGCCAAAATGTTTTTAGAAAAGTCCGGAATTCAGCCCAGTGGACAACGGGAAGGTGGGCTTGGAAAATGGCATAGCCTATATCACTGTAAGTAAAAATGAATTCCAAAAAAAACAAAACACCCCAAAAAAAAAAAGCACAATGTTGTATTGAAGCGCCTTGGCAAAGGTAGAACCACATTTAATTCCTTCGCTCTGTCGTTTTTCTGAAATGTATCTTTTTTTTTTTTCCTCCCACCCCACAGCTGAAATGACCAACTTTCTATACCGAGCACCTTTTTGCGACACATCCTTCACTTTGCTTTGGCATGTAGAAGAGTGCCTTTAGGGTATCCAGTCAGACTCACTTGATGAGAGGTTATGTCAGGGGTGGGCAAACTATTGTGCTTGAGGGCCACATCGCATTTTTAAATGGGACAGATGGGCAATGTCATTTATAGAGAGGGTGAAGCATAGAAGGTAAAATATGTATAGAAATAGTTTAAACAGTCGTTAAACAATTACTTAATCAAATGATTTTTAAAAAATATGTAACATTGTACTTTTTGATTGTAATACAAGTAAATAAATCAAATTATTTCATGAGATAAATTAACAAAACAGGAATCCATGCATTTTGATTAGGGGGAACATAGATTAATACAAACTATTGCAGGACTCTTGGTAATGTACATTTTTATAGAATTAAGTGAGCGCTAGGTGGCCGACCTGACATACTTTTCCCACTTCTGTGATGAAGGAGGTCCTTTTTCTTTCAAACACTGGGACTGCAGTGGCATACAAATGTCTTCCGTGAATTTTTGATCATCTTTCTTTTGGTATGTTTAACTCATTCACTGCGATCCCTCCCAGTTAGAATGCATGTTTGGTTGGCATCTCTGGTCATCGATGCCAGTGAAGAAATTATTGTGAAAGAGACTGATAAATTCTGAATGTATACTTTTCATAGTACACATTAAATGGCTAATATTGATAATCTAGTGGCTCACATAGCTGAGCTCACTGGAGGTTAATAGAAAAAAATTATGGGGGGGCTGTTCTAAGACTTGCACAGTTATGTATGGTAAATTCTGATAGAATCGTGATGGGATTTATTTTAAATTGAATGATATTTATGTACGTTGTCGCTGTCCAATAAAATGTAAAAATTTTTTGTTGTTTTACCCCCCATCTTTGGATAAAAATAAAACATTTGCAAGATATAGGAGTACTTTTCATTGGCCAGCGACACAATGATTTAATTATATCAAATATATTCACACAGTGTAATATGTTGTTGAGTTATTCTTGTTGAATTTTGTTTTTGGTGACATTGAAGTTGCTTGAAAACCAAACTTTTTAAAAAATATGTGTAGTACTTGTAAAGTTCTTGTTCCTGAAAGGAAATAAAATAATTTAAGGTCCTATAAGATGTGAATTTCTTCCTCTCCCATTTTACCAGTATTTTTTTAACCTTCCGTCTACAAATTCACGTTATTCCTATGAGTTTTACCATAATAAACGATCATTTGTCAATTTCATCAAAATTGCGTCACACATCGCAGACACAAGATGTCGCCAAAACTCCACGATACCCCCAATACCGAATTGAAACCTTGAAAACCCGAACCTGCTGTACTGTAATGTGTTTGGCTCTGTGCATGCTTGTGCATGCCTCCAACAACACTAAGCAACCGCGGGGACATCTTGTCAGAACAACGTACGCGTCAAGGGAGCAAAAACGCACGCGTGAAAACAAATAAAGGTCATCAAAAATCTTAAAAACACCTCCTGTTATGACGTCGTTGCATTTATCGTGCACACAATGAAAGTGGACGTTTGAATTCGTAATTGCATGCATGTATTTTTATTGAAACAAGTACAGTAGAACCTTTAAGTCATTCAAAAATAACGTTTAACAAATCTAAATAGTTTATCCTAAGAGACCAAATGTGTGGTCCGCTGGTTATGACGGCACGAGAAGGGGCGCGGCTTAGTGACGCATTGCGGTTACCTCCCCGCCCGCTGGCGGTCCTGCACACAGCGCGTGCGTGCGGTTGCGTGCAAACCACGCGTTTGTTTGCTTGCGCGTTCACGCTGGCCGTGCTGGTCCGGGTAGCCTGTTACTGGTACTGGCTGTGGCATTTTCTATGGGGCGGGCGGGGTCGAAGCTGGCGGTCCTGCACACAGCGCGTGCGTGCGGTTGCGTGCAAACCACGCGTTTGTTTGCGTGCGCGTTCACGCTGGCCGTGCTGGTCCTGGTAGCCTGTTACTGGTACTGGCTGTGGCTTGCGCACGCGCGTGGATGCATCCGCGGCGTATGCGCAGGTAGAAAAAAAAACCCCACAAGACAAAACGTCTTATTTTTGGCGTTCTTTTGGACATGGCGGTGACTCTTTCCCTTTTCCAAATTTGAGAGGATTACGTGAGGAACCATGACGTCGGGCCAGGATGAAAGTTCGGTTCGTGTGGCGTTGAGGTGAGTCCACTTCTATATTTGTGTTTGTGACACCTGTCAAGCTAACTCGCTAGCACCTGCGCGGTAACACAGAATCACCAACCGGCTTGGAACCTAGCCTGGGGGCTCTATGTATAGGCCTAGTTCCAGTCATGGTCGGTCAGCTGGTGGTGTGGCCGGGGTGCAGGTGCTCGGGAAACGAGAGGATGGTGGTGTAACGGTCGTGGATGAAGCAGACGTGGAGACTGAGTGACTGACTTCTCTGTTTGGAGACGTTCCGGTGTCTCTGAACGCACCAAATTTGGGGGCCCACCAGTTAGCTCGTCAGCCAAATGCGTTCATAGGCTCGTCAAATAATGCGACTTGTAAAGGCTATGACGTAATGGATGTCGCCATTTCTCGTCCCGCCCCTTAGGCATCATGACGCTTTCGTATCTATCTGTCTATCAATCTATCTATCTATCTATCTATCTATCTATCTATCTATCTATCTATCTATCTATCTATCAATCTACTGTAATTTGTTTTTTTATGCAATGTGTACTATCAGTTCTACATACAGTCGGGCTTATAAATAGTGGGGCATTGACACAAGTCTCATCTTTTTTCAGCTAGAATGATTTTGAAATGAAATGAACAAGATGTGCTTTAACTGCAGACGTTAGATTTAATTTGAGGGTATTTACATCCAAATCATGGAAATGGTATTGGGATTGTAGTAGTTTGTATATGTGCCTCCCATTTATTTTTTTAAGGGACCCAAAATAATGGGACAATTGGGTTCTCAGTTGTTCCATGGCCAGGTGGGCATGTGTGGCTGCCAGTGGAATTGGGTTCCTGAATTTATTGATGCTGTGACTGCTGCAAAAGCAGCAGAATAAATTTTGAAGCGTCTTGGGCAATGTTATTTGCTCATATTCAGCCAAATACTTCAGAATTCATCAGACAGTGCTTCACATTATAGATAGACAATGACCTGGCCTTTGTTGTTGTATTAATGTTTTATTCCAGCTGTAGAAGTTGTGAAATGCGCTATATAAATAAAGTTGTATTGGAATTGTATACTACAAAAGCAACAGAAAAAGCTTTTGAAGGAAAACAAGTGGAAAGTCAGTCACCTCACCTGGCTTTCATTTGCTGAAGACAAAACTGAAGGGAATATGCCCACAGAAGTTCCAGTAGAGGCCCGGCAGCGAATCACCAGGGATCAAATTCAACATCTGATGATGTCTGTACGTTCCAGACTTCAGGCTGTCATTGACTGCGAAGGATTTGCACCCAAGTACATGAACAAGTGAAAGTTCGATTTATGATTGTTAATTTGTCCCATCACTCTTGGTCCCTTAGAACGTCTGGGGCATACAAAACTGATACGACAGATTTGGATGTAAATACCCCGAAATTCAAGCTGAGAAAGTCTTCTCTCATCAGTCCGTTTGTCCATCAGTGCATCCATCCATGCACCTCTCTGTCACAGTCTCCACTTTGTCGCCTTAGCCTGTTTTCTTGCTGCCCTCAGTGTCCTTTTGAATCAAGTCTGCTTGGCAACAGTCACATGCTGAGAAGTAAATAGAGGGGGGCCCTCTTTTTGTCCTTTGTTGTTTGTTAGCATGTGTCTGCTTACCAACAGTGCATTCAATGCAGCATGGCTTTCTCAGTTTCGACACTATTGTGAAGGTGTAAAAAAAGGAGTAAAGCAGCACTTTGTCCCCCCCTGCTATTGGAGGACTTCTTCTGTCTTGCCGTGATTTGACTTGTGGTGTTTTTTTCCCCCCAACAAAGATGCAATTAGCTGAGAATGTGTGGGCAGCTTCTCCTCCTCCTTTCATTGTCACATCCATTTTTTTTGGTCCTTTTTTTAAATTCTTGAAACTTAAATATAGTCAAGAAGAGATGTGGACCCGCGTTGATAACTTGCAATTAGAAACAAAAGAGTGTCAAGTCAGGTCATGCGAAGTCTAACATTCGAAAGGTCCTTGAGTGCGATGTAAAGTAAGAGGAAAGAAATCATTTTTAAATGCATTTCTTTAACTTTGACCTTTTGACACTTGTATGACAGATTTTTCACCTTTCTAAAGGTGAGTGGTATTGTTGTTATTCACAATTAACACACGTTGCTTCATGTTTCACTGGTATTTTGCTTTGGTCTGTCGCAATCCTTCGTCGTGCAAATAAAGTGTATCTGCCTCGCAGGATATTGTGCCCCCCCGCTCATCAGTGTACACCTTCGAAACATAGTAATTGTGTCTTGTGTAAATAATTCCGAGTACAGACACCATGGGGAGTAGCAATACCTGCTAGCTCCAGCTGAAAGAACAGCAGGAGCTCTGTTGAGATAAGCGGGGATTAAGAAAAAAAATGGTTTCCATGGTGACTGCAACACTCTTTTCATTGCTTGACGACACACACATCCATACACAGATGCGCATTCTCCACTTTGTTGCACTGACACACTTTCTGGCTCCCCTGTCTACTTTGCCATTAAAAAAAAAAGTAATAAAAAGAATAAAGGCTCTGTGGTCCAACTGCGAACAGATTACTGAATTCATTAAGAGCTGCATCTAAGTATTTTCGTCAGCAAAGTTCATATCGATGTCTTGCCAGGGCTTGTTGCTGTTCAGGCTGCTGGGCAGGGCATTGTAATGACATTAACTAGATCCGTAAAGACCTGAAGGCTTTCGTCAGCTCAGCGTAATGGGGTGGAAGGCATGCCGCTGCTCGTATAAGTGGATAGAACCTTGTGAGCCGCAGGCCAGTGGATAAGGAAGTTAAGCAGACCCGAATCAGCTGACGAGGAACAAGAGCTGATAATCACCCACTGCACGTGCTATTGACGACGTGAACAGCGATTGATTGAGCCTAAAATAATGTCCCCCCGCCCCCCCAAAAAAAGTTTTCCTACCATTGTACATGAACGAACCAAGACATCTTGAGTTTAGACATTCCTCCTGAAAAGAAGAACAAATAGACTTTGAAGAAACAATAGTACTCATTCTCAAAGTGCTTTGTCCTGTGGGACACGAAAGAATCACTGCCCAAGATGAAAACTTGGCCTGAAGAGGGGGGCACAGTCGTGCTAGCACAGCAGCCACGACAGTGTCCAAAGCCCCCCACCCCGTGTAGCCTCCTCGTTGTTCACATCCACTGAACCAAAGCATTCCCTCTTTAGCTCCGCCGCTAGCTCGCCGTGTTTGTAATTGGCGCCGCCGCCTGGCATGTGACTGACTGCTTGCTCGGGTTGGAAAAAAAACAGGGAATGGCGGGGGGACTACGACTGAGACTCTTTTCTTTGTTTTGCTGTGAATGCTTAAAAGAGCCACGAGGATCTGGGCTCAGATATTGTTTACAAATCAGAAGAGGTGATACTGTAGTTCTTATCAATTTGGGTCAGATATTCCTTAAAGTCAAGTGGATAGAACTAAACTAAAAAAAAATAAATACAATTTCAAAAGCTCTGAAGTAATCAGGAAGACGGTCAAAAGGGGAACCATTCGCCTCAAATACCTTTCTGAACTTTGATCAGATTTTCCTTAAAATCAATGTCATTAAGGTCAAAACAAACAAAAAAACTTTAGTGTTTGCATCAAATGAAATTGTTGATCATCAAATGTTAATGAAAAAACTGAAAGTTCGAAAATGTCACACAATTATAATAATAATAATATATATATTTTTTTTTAATGAAAAGGCTTTAGTGGAATCTTATGAAATACAACACTGACATTTAGTTTCACTGATAATGTTTAAATGTAAAATGTTTAATGGATGAAGAATGCTCATCAAATACCTGTTTGGGTCATCCTACAGGTAAACAGGCTAACTGGGAACAGACGGTTGCCATAATTGGGTAGAAAAGGGAGTTGATTTTATTATGATATGCCGCTTCCTCTGCTAATGATTTGTTGGACCTACACAGGGAATTTCCACTCATCCCCGAGTCCTCGTCAGTTGTTTTTGGAAAAAGTGGCGTCCAAACAAACAAGGTGGGTCAAAAGTCCCCGCATGGTGCATTGATAACGGCTTTGGCCGCTTCCTGCAGGTCAATGTTCTTGTGGGCGGCACGGGATAGACGTGCCTGAAGCTTTTAACTCGGGGGGGTAGCCTACTTTGTAAAATACAAAATAAAATAAAAATATCGTAGCTGTGTTTGATATGAAATTAAGTATAACAAAAGTGCACGTGTACAGTATGGCTGCAGCTATCACATATTTTTAGAATCACGTATTCTACCAATTTTCCTTTATTTTATGAGATTTCATCTTGACCTCTATTTGTTTTTTTAAATCAGAATCAACACCTTCGGACTATATCTCATTCAAAAATGCTTATTATTTTTACACTCAAGTTTATACCGTTATTTACTGTTCTTGTGAAGTGATTCAAATGATATTGTGATATGAATTTTAGCCCGTATCGCCTAGCCGCAGTACACATTAGTTTATAGAGGAAATGTAGACCTCATTGGTATAAATATGATGATGACGATGATGATGATGATGAGACGTGTGAATCTATTTGAGAGTGAGTGCGTCCTATTTGTGAGCCCCGCTGGAGTTACATCCTCGTCCTATTTGTGGTACGGTGTCTGCTTTTAGGCCTGGAGCTTGGCAGGATGCTGAGCTTTTTTTATTTTATTTTTTTTTGCCCACCTTCCCCCTTTCTCATCTTGCAGTGGATCAGACCACGCCCTTGGACCATTTCCTCCCTGCCTGGGATTAAGATTTTAATTCATTCATTGATGGTCACCATGGCAACGCCATCCTCTGTCACGTGCGCACACACACTGCACCAGCATACTTGGGGTGTGGCATTACTTGGAGCACTTCTTTCAACATTTCTAGTGCGCGCCAAGATTATTTTAGGTAACGAAAACAAATGAAATAACGAAAGTTAAAGTTGAAAAAAAAACATTTTTTGTTCACGAAATAAAATAATACGAAATGCTTTTAAATCATGAAAACAAAACTTTACAGGACTAACTAAAAGTAATTATGGCCAAAATGTCTTTCATGTTCGTCTTTGTCAATTAATTTAATAAATGAGCCCTTGTGCTTCATTCTAAATGTATTTATTTCGATATCACTGCACGGCCATGAGCTGGAAGAAGAGATGGTCAAAGAGTCATCTGGGAGTCCTTTTATGTCCGCACAGAAGCGAAGTTGTCAAGATCCAGCTGATTAATAAGAGCCACCGGATGATGTTTGTGTGTGCTTTTGGCTCGAATGGCTCCCCACCCTTTGTTATTTAATCAGGTAATTGAACATTCTATATTGTCCCAAGGTGTGACTGATCGCGAAAGGTTGTTCATCTCTGTGTGCCCTGTGATTGGTTGGCAACCAGTTCAAGGTGTACCACGCCTATGGCCCGAAGACAGCTGCCATAGGCTCCAGTACAGTCCGCACCCTTGTGAAGATAAGCGGCCCAGAAAATGGATTTACAGCATATTTAAAAAAAAAAATAGTACACTGTGCACCCAGGTTTAATACTTTTCAACAGGAGTTCAAGCCATGACTCCACTTTAGAAGTTGGCGACTTGGCAAACAAGGCATCCTCGCTTTATTTAAAACAGTGCGTGCATGCATGCATCTAACTTTAGAAGCGGTGGTTTGCACTGCACGACCGGTAATTGTAATTCAAAGTCTGTGGACTGTTAAACTGTACCCTCTATTTTCAAAATGTTTTCAAATAAATTTTTGTTGAATTTATACTTCACAATATTGACCATGGTGCTTTTTTTTTAGCCTTGCACACAAGTAAAAAAAAATTTAAAGACTAACTAAAATCAAACTAAAACAGTGTTTAAAAAAAACTAATAAAAACTAACAAAGCTGCCCTGAAAACTATTTCAAACTAATAATTATAAAAAAAAACCTCAAAACGAAATAAAAACAAATTATAATTAAAATGTCAAAACTATTAGAACCCTGGTGCACACTGATATTCCTTTCTATTGTGCACACCAGGGTTCACTTTTTTCGTGCACATTAGTTTGGTTTTGTGGTTTGCACCATGGTTCGCTTTATAGATGTTCAGCAGGGTTCATTTGTACGGAAGACCAAGGTTGGTTTATTTGGTGCGCACTAAATTCTGCCGATTTGGTGTGTAACAGGGTTTCATTTTTTTTTTTTTTTTAATGCACACCTTGGTTATTTAGTGCGCAGCAAAGCATTAATTTGACCTTGACTTGTGTGCGGATGAAAGTCCATGACTTCACTTTAGAAGTTGGCGACTTGGCAAACAAGGCATCCTCGCTTTATTTAAAACAGTGCGTGCATGCATGCATCTAACTTTAGAAGCGGTGGTTTGCACTGCACGACCGGTAATTGTAATTCAAAGTCTGTGGACTGTTAAACTGTACCCTCTATTTTCAAAATGTTTTCAAATAAATTTTTGTTGAATTTATACTTCACAATATTGACCATGGTGCTTTTTTTTTAGCCTTGCACACAAGTAAAAAAAAATTTAAAGACTAACTAAAATCAAACTAAAACAGTGTTTAAAAAAAACTAATAAAAACTAACAAAGCTGCCCTGAAAACTATTTCAAACTAATAATTATAAAAAAAAAAAACTCAAAACGAAATAAAAACAAATTATAATTAAAATGTCAAAACTATTAGAACCCTGGTGCACACTGATATTCCTTTCTATTGTGCACACCAGGGTTCACTTTTTTCGTGCACATTAGTTTGGTTTTGTGGTTTGCACCATGGTTCGCTTTATAGATGTTCAGCAGGGTTCATTTGTACGGAAGACCAAGGTTGGTTTATTTGGTGCGCACTAAATTCTGCCGATTTGGTGTGTAACAGGGTTTCATTTTTTTTTTTTTTTTTAATGCACACCTTGGTTATTTAGTGCGCAGCAAAGCATTAATTTGACCTTGACTTGTGTGCGGATGAAAGTTTTTTTTTTTTTTTTTTGGGTAGTTTGCTTGTTTATTGTGTGAGAATTAGGTGTGCACCAAGGTTAACCTGTAAGGTGCACACAAATTTCACCTTTTTGGTGTGCGCAGGCGTTCGCTATTTTTGGTGCGCAACTTGGTTCACTTGCTTTGCGCGCACGCAAGAGTTCAGTTGTTGTTGTGCCCGAGGATCCCCTCATTTGGTGTGCACGGGTTTCCTCTCGTGCACATCAAAAGCCACCAGAGCTCGCATATCTGGTTGAATACCAAACGTAACCTGTGGTGCACCAGGAGTGCATCAAACAAGTTACACCTGATGCGCACCAAACTAGCAAACTACAGAGTTTACAGCAGTGCTCTTGTTGATAAACTCGAGTGTGCACCAAACAAGCGAACCAGGCGTGCACCTAAATAATTGGACCCTAATGCGCACTTTGTTGGTGTCCACCAGAGTTCACCTCTTGCGTGCTTACAAAGAAGGTGAAAAATGAGCTCTGATGCGCACCAAACAAGCAAACTATTACGCACCTAATAAGTGAACTCGGGTCTGCACTTGCTTGATGTGCGGTGGTGTGTCACATTCGAGTGTCCTCTTTGTGCATCTTCTTAGTGGCTGAGAACCCGACAACATGTCTCTGTACAAACTCTGGTGAACTTCAACCCCCATCCTCCTCTGGCTTGGAACCTTAACCCACCCCCTGAATCCGTATCCCCAAAAATAGACTGCAACTGCTTTTCTTTTTTTTTTTTTTTTTTGGTCTATCAATGACACTTGTAGTTGTCCATGTTTCCAGCACCCTCTAGAGTCTAAAGTGCAGAATATCAGCACCCACCAATGTGGGTTTGTCCAAATTGACGCCACATTTTGATTTTTCAGGGACATTGCCCCATTTCTAGGGATTTTGCCAAACCAATAGTCTCGAACTAGCCAACAGACGTCACATCGACGTTCAGATTCTTGACCGGATTACACAGTTCAGTCTCCTGAAACAACGAGCGTTCTGTTCTCGCTGTTGTGGATTACAAATGTTACACACTGTCGCTGCAAACATCTCAAAGACAGCCTGGAGGTATCCCAGTACCACGTTGCTCCCACGGTGTCTGTGCGCTCGGTGCCAGGATCCAGTGTCACACTTGGGGATGCACAATGGCCGCACTGTGCTGGACCCCGAGACATTGTTTTGAAGGCACAATGAGGCCGTTATCCACGCTAGATGCAAAAGGCTGCCAGGTGCCTCTGTTGAGGGCTTCCATGTCAGGGGAGGTGCCCTTGTCCTCCACACAGAAACTTGAAACCTTTCACACGGCGATCCAGCTAAATTGGTGTATCAGAGACATAAAATTTTATATGAATGAGATTTTATTCATTTTATTTTCTTACTGTCTCCCTCCTCAGGATCCGTCCGCAACTAGCACGGGAGAAGATCGAAGGATGCCACATCTGCACGTACGTGATGCCCGGCGAGCCTCAAGTCATCCTCGGCAAGGACAAATCCTTCACGTACGACTATGTGTTCGACATGGACTCGCAGCAGGACGCCATCTACCAAACTTGCACCGAAAAGCTGATCGAGGGCTGCTTTGAGGGATACAACGCCACCGTCTTCGCCTATGGACAGGCCAGTTGCACATTACATTACGGATGGCACCATATGCTGTAAATGTCATCGCCACTCCTTTTTGCGCAGAATCCAGACGAGCAGGATCTCGCTACGACACGGCTAATGAGGCAGTAGCCTCTTTACCGCAGAAATACTACATTTCAGAAGAGAAGATTTTACATTTGTCGCCCTTAGCCTTTTTCACAGAAACCTGGAATCAAAAAATAGTTGTTGGACACAACAGGGCAGGGGAAGGGAGTGTTGAGTGTTAAACTTTCTCGCACTCTTGTCTCAGTATTGCATATACCTTCATGCACAGCTCTGCATTTATACTTCCTTGTTAAAGAGATCCTGCAAAATTGGCAAGACGCTCTTGACCTCACGAATAACGTAGCTATCAGACGGGGTGGGTGTTAAAACTTCAAATCCCTGTCTCCGCACTACTTCGGAAAGTGGACAATGAAGATGGAAAATTACACATACTGTAGCAGCATATCTTGTACTGTCTTTACCCTTACACCTCTAAATTTGGGATGTGTTGACTTGGTTTTGCGTCCCGGCATCCGCAGACTGGTTCCGGTAAGACCTACACCATGGGTACGGGCTTCGACGTCAACATCGCCGACGACGAGCTGGGCATCATCCCCCGGGCCGTCCACCACCTCTTCCGGGGCATCGAGCGGCGCCGGCAGGCCGCGCAGGAACAGGGACGCCCCGCGCCAGAGTTTAAGATCAACGCTCAATTCCTGGAGGTAACAAGCCTGACGGCAGCTGTCATTATCAGCAGGGGGGGCGGCAAAGGAGGGAGTTTAGAAGGTGGCGATGGAGGAGTTCAGAAGAAGACACATTGGGAGGCACTTGTGCGGCTCCGTCACACTTTGACAGCGCTCGCATACCAAAAAAGACAAGCCGCAACCCGAGATGTTATAACATGTGGATGACCACAAAACAAACTGGGCAGCAGAATAAATAGTATTGTACCTTTAGATTAAAAAAAAAAAAAAAAAAAAAGCACAGAATGTAACATGGAAAGTAAATCACGGTCCCATAGAAAGCAATTAAACTTGTGTGTTTTGGATTGTTTTAATTAATTTTTTTCTTAGATGACCAAAATACTTTTCTGTGTTTGGTAATTTTAGTTTTTTTTTTAATTGTGTGAAAACATTTTAAGACAAATTGTTTTCTAAATTTGATGTGTCTATAGATGCCACAAGATGGCACTAAATTGCGACTTTTATAATAGAAAGGGTGTTTTTCATTTTCTGACATTTTCATTTTACGAAGAGCTCCAAAACTAAGTCTTTGTTTGTTTGTTTGTTTGTTTGTTTGTTTGTTTTTAAAAAATGTATTCACTTAAATGCTTTTCTTTCCAATTTGTGGAATCTCTTTAAAATTGAATAGAATTTTTAATCTTTGAAAAAAAAACTACTGGACTAATTTTTCTCACTTTCCAAGGGTGCTGAGTGAGAAAAGGCTGCTTCAAAACAAAATGGTGGACTTCCTGTTCAATTTCAGCCATGGGTTTTCAGCCTTTTCGTGCAGCCTGTGATGATACCAATGTCTATCTACCTAATGACATTTTTGTGTTGTTTTGTGTCTTGGCGCAGCTATATAACGAGGAAGTTCTGGATCTGTTTGACTCAGTGCGGGATGGGAAGCAGAAATCTCACATCAGGATTCATGAGGATGCCAACGGGGGCATCTACACCGTGGGTGTGACCACACGCACTGTGTCCTCCGAGGCCGAGGTACGACATCCAAGTAGGAACGTTTGCAGTCCAATGGCGTCACTCATAACTGTTCTTGGTAATTCAGATGATGCAGTGCCTGAAGCTGGGCGCTCTGTCTCGCACCACCGCCAGCACGCAGATGAATGTCCAGAGCTCTCGCTCGCACGCCATATTCACCATCCACTTGTGCCAAGTCAGAGTCTGTGCCTCCCCCGACAATGTGAGTCACACGCCACAATATGCAAACCCTATTCTCTGTTGTGATGTAATATACAGTATAACATCTCCCTCTCTATTGTAAGCAGCCCTGTTGAAATTAAACTGCTCACATCTATGTCATAAAATGCAGATACCTTTTGAGTAAATTACTCATAAGGTACATGTAGCTAAATTAATAAAAAACTGTAAATAAACACATTATTAAATGTAAATATTTTCAATTGCAAAGTCACTCACTGTTTATATTTGATGGTAAGACCTGCTTTCTTTCTTCTTGGTCCTTGCAGCAGGAAGACGGCGACAATCGGGTCTCCAATGGCAACGGAGACATGGACGAGTATGAGACGCTCAGTGCCAAATTTCACTTTGTGGACTTGGCCGGCTCCGAGAGGCTCAAGAGGACAGGCGCCACGGGAGACCGAGCCAAGGAGGGCATCTCCATCAACTGTGGACTGGTGAGTGAGCGTAGTGTTGCGCTGACATCTGGTGGACACATGGATACATGAACTCTGTCTCTTTATAAATTGGAACATTGTGGAAATCTTAATTTATTTCAGTTGTTCAATTTAGAAAGTGAAACTCATAATAGCGTTAACCCACATTTATCGCAGGAATACGTTGTATGTGATGGGTGAGAATCTGCCATATGGAGAGATCATCTTTCAAAAAAAAGTGTTCTTTTTTCCTCTCCCGCGCACTTTTAACACATTTCGAGGAATTAAAACACACTTTTCAATCACGATGTAAATGTTTCTGAACACCTAAAAAATATTCAATTTGGATTTATTTACCTACTGTGTTCTGCAACAGCTGAGACAAAACCAGCAACGCATCAACCATGCATCTAACATGTGCGCAATCATGAACCCACGTGACATGAACGACTGTATTCACTTGATAAATTATTCAACAAAAAAACAACCACATTCACTTGAGACTCATCAATAGTATTAGCTAGCACGCTACAGAGTGTTGAGGTTATTTGTTGATTATTTCATTCATTCATTTTCCCATGTAAAGCTGGCTCTGGGGAATGTTATCAGCGCTTTGGGCGACCGCAGCAAGCGGGCCTCACATGTGCCTTACAGAGACTCCAAACTGACCCGACTTCTGCAGGACTCCTTGGGAGGAAACAGGTCAATGGAGACACCTTGCTCTATGATTTTCCCCACAAAGGCACACTAAAGAGTTATCCTTCCGTGTCTCAGCCAAACAGTGATGATCGCGTGCATCAGCCCGTCCGACCGCGACTTCATGGAGACACTCAACACACTCAAGTATGCCAACCGCGCCCGCAACATCAAGAACAAGGTGATGGTGAACCAGGACAAAGCCAGCCAGCAGATCAGCGCACTCAGGACGGAGATCGCCAGGCTGCAGATGGAACTCATGGAGTACAAGACGGTGTGTGTGTGTGTGTGTGTGTGTGTGTGTGTGTGTGTGTGTGTGCGCGCGCGTGCGTGCGTGCGTGTGTGGGTGGGGGGAGTATTTGAAAGGGGATATACTGTGGATATTAAAAGTCCATCCACTTTTTCCATCTTTTTTGAGCAAGTAAAGATAAGCTGAAATTAGGTGGTTGCAAAGGTCTGCACACCCGCAAAATGTGTTCAGAATGATTCAGTCATATTCAAAATCTTGTTAAACGGGAGACTATGTAAAATGTCATTTTACTAATGAATTTTACTCTTGATTGGTGGGCAGAAAATCCATAGTCCCTCTTGTTTGTGTACAAATAAAAATATACATTTTACGCAACCTGTCACCTGTGCTGACAACTCTCCTCTTCCACGCAGGGTAAACGCTTGGCGGGCGAGGATGGCGTGGAGAGCTTCAGCGACATGTTCCATGAGAACACCATGCTGCAGACGGAGAATGGCAACTTGCGTGTGCGGGTGAAGGCCATGCAGGAGACCATCGACGCCCAACGGGCGCGACTCACGCAGTTGCTCAGCGACCAGGCCAACCAGGCCCTTGCCAGGACGGGTAGGCACCACCAAACAGTAGAGCTGGATAGAAAATGTTTCATTTTTCTGGAAACAAACCCAGTGCAGCACACTCTCTTATTAGCGATCATCGCAAGTCAACATATTACAACTAGCACTTTACACAGTAAGTAAACAATTGTTTGTATTTTCCCCAAAAAGAGTTTGTAGCTGTTGCGATATTTATAAAAAAAAAAAAAAAAAAAAAAGCAATTTTACAAGAAGAATTTGGTTCCCTTATCACACTGGATGTGAACCAGACCATGACCTTACCACCACACATAGATCGTCATTTTTCATCTAATGTTTAAACCAATAGCATGAAAAATTCATCACTTTCCTTTCTTGTTCAGGCGAAGGAGGCACAGAGGAAATTGGCAACATGATTCAGAGTTACATCAAGGAAATTGAAGAACTCAGGTAAACACAGGAGGGGCCCGATGCTGTGCGTTAGTCTTTAGCCTTGAATGAAACTGTACCGGTTGAGGTTAAAGCTGTTTCGATGGGTCACATTTTGTACTTATCGAGCTCACTGAACATTGACATGATCAAAAGTCCTGTAATATTTATTGCATCAATATATAGAAATTTATTTTTCTGCCTAAAATTTGTTAAGTCAAATGTATTCATTCATTTTTGTTTTAGGGCATTGAAATATTTTATAGGTTCTCTTGTAAATTATATAAAATACTTATATATAATAATTATTTAATTAGTAAGCTCAATAGTTAAATTAGCACATGATCATTTTTTTAAAAAACTGTTTTTGTTCTGTTTATTGCTAATGTAATCATTACTCCATAATTTTCAAATAGTGAAAACTATTTTCGGATTCAAATCTGTTAAGATAAATTACAAACATAATAAATAAAATAAACGATTTAGCATTCTTTTGATTTATTAGATAATTATTGATAGTGACATTAAGAATAAGCAATACAAATACATAATACAATTATTTACAAAAACATTTTGCATACAGTATTTTACCTACCTAATGTGTTACTCAGAGCCAAACTTCTGGAGAGTGAGGCGGTGAACGAGAGCCTGCGCAAGAGCCTCTCTCGTGCCTCCAACCGCCAGGCCTTCTACGGCGGTCCTGGCTCCTTCTCATCTTCCTCCACCGCCCCTGAGAAGGAGACATCCGACATCATCGAGATGGCCAAGAAGGACCTGGAGAAGCTGAAGAAGCGAGAGAAAAAGAAGAAGAAAAGGTGATCAAAGACTGAATGTTGGGATCGGAAAACTCATCGGAAATTTTGTATCATTTGACCAAATGACAGGAAATTGGCTGGACATCATGACGGGATGACAGGACAGGAAAAATCTGAGGGCTGATGCCTGAATTTGAACAGGAACTCAGCCATTTCGGTTTGAAGAAGCTATTTCGTACTTTGACAAACTCCAATTAGGGAAGATGTCCATTCGAGCTCGAATTGGAAGCCAGTATCCTAGACAAATGGGCCGTGCTAAATGGCTTTAATTTTCAATTGTTTCATTTTGTCAGGGCATAAAGACTCATGACAAAAACCGAAACACACAGTTCATCAATTGATCACATACGTTCGAGATTTTGAAGGGAAAAGATTTTCTCTCACCCTTCCCTCCTTCCTTCCTTCCTTCCTTGCTTCCTTCCTTCCTCTCCTCATCTCTCTTCACTTGTCGTTTACCCTTTCACTCCCTCCCCTGAAGACTCGAGCAGCTGTTGGAGGAGCGAGAGAGGAGGGAGGAGGAGGAGGTGGTGGAGGAGGTTGTCGTCAGGTTTGTTGGCTTCCACCCTCCCGTTGTCCCTTTTGCTCCTCACTTTTGAACTTATCCTCCTCATATTCATGAAACACAAGCCTCTGTCTTGCCTATGATTCGCCCATCAACGCCACTTGTGTTTGTCATTTAAAAAGTTATTTTAATTCATATAAAGTTTTAATTTTATGTTGCAAAACATCTGCAAAGGTTTTGCAGTAACCAAGTTGGCAGCCAGCTTTTGGATGAAACAGTTAATCCAAAATGGCTTTTCATTCTTACGCCTTCTGGTCCCGTTTTTTTTTTTTTTTTGCAGTGCGAAGTTCCTCTTTTCGTTTCACGGTTTGACACGCTGTATTTTTTACCAACAAGCTAATGACAGCATACACTGATTCATGTCCAAAACATTAGGTACACCTGCATGATTGACAAACCAACACAGATTTACCAAAATGACTGACTCTTCTAATATTTTGTCTAGTATCATTTGTATTTTCTGTTTGATTGGTCTTTTCAAAAGTTTTTACAATAATTTAGTTTTTTGGTCTTGGTATTTTTTATTTTTTTTACCCCTAATATTTTTCGAATATATTTAAATGTAGTTTTGTCGAATGTTTTTCTCTTTTTGTTGTGTGTGTGTACTGCATGATTTCTTCTTTTAAATATTTGATTATATTTTTTCCTCCAGTTGTATTTTTTTGTAGATTCTCGTTTCTCCTCTAATATATTCATCTGTTTCTTTGGCTCTCAATGCGCTGCTCACGTATACATACGTGTGTTGTTATGAAATCGTTGAAGTAGTTTTTCCTCCGTATTATTTTGTGACCAATACAGACAATTGTGGTCATTTTTCCTCACTAAATCATTTCTTTAATGAGTTGACATGTCTTTTTCATCAACGAGCCGTCTTTACAGTGGTGACTACAATGTCACGTCGACTAAACAGTGAGCGTTATCTTTGTGAAGGCAGATGTGGTGTACCTAATGTTGTGGCCAACGGGTGTATGTACCCCATGTGGTGTAACAGAAATATTGCCGACACACAATGGAAACTAAATTTTGCTATGTGCTAACAAGACAATGATTATGCTCTAATAACAAGGACTTTATGTTGATTTTTTTTTGAGTAAATAATAATAATAAGGGAGTTATCTGGTAAAAGAAAAATCGTGCGCTTCTATCTTTCAGTGTCGGCAAGGAGGACATTCCCGACAACGAGCAGAAGAGCAGTGACAAGGAGAACTACGCCGAGCGAGCCAGCGATGATGCCGACATGGTGAGTTGCTCCACGTACAGTGTCTTGAACAATAAAGACTAGAAACCAAATGTAAAGGATAGTGTCAAATGGATGTCACATCTAAAACAATTTAAAAAAATAAACTTGATAATGCACTTTTCCTCAACACCCTCATAACTTAATAAAAATGGAAAATATCTAAAATAATACCACAGAAAAAATACAATCCTGTAAATGAACAAAACATTCTCTTTGAAGAAATGTTCTTCATTGCCTTCAGAATCTTGTTGCCTTTCTTTCCATGACGCAAAAATAACTGCGTATCTTGACTACTCATCACCCTGTTATGACGCGCAGGATGGCAGCGAGCACGACGAAGGGGAGGAGGAGGACGAAGAGGAGGATGAGGACATGGAGGTGGAGGACAGCACAGACGATTCCGACTCGGAGTCGGACGAGAAAGGTGTGAGCAGTCTGAGGTCAACAAGTAGCGAAAAGTACATATTGTGCTTGAAGAAGCAAGTTGCACTCCAACACCTAACCAGAAGGCCCTCTTAGCCAGGCCACATCCTGTAAAGAGCATGAGCGGAGAGATTTTTTTTTTTGTTTCAGTGTATTTTCATCTAAAGTTTGTATAGAAGATGGATGGATGGACGTTTCCGTGCTATTTTATCGCGACAACATGCCTACATTTCTATGGGTCTTCCACAGAGAACTTCCAGGCGGACCTGGCCAACATCACGTGCGAGATCGCCATTAAGCAGAAGCTGATCGACGAGCTGGAGAACAGCCAACGCCGTCTGCACACGCTCAAGCAGCAGTATGAGCAAAAGCTGATGATGTTGCAGTGCAAGATCAGGGACACGCAGCTGGAGCGAGACCGTGTCCTCCAGAACATGAGTAAGCTCCCGTTCTGTCTGAACCCATCTTTGAATTCATTCATCCATCCATCATGAATGGATTCACAGGTGGCAAAAGTACTCACCCTCTCTACTGGAGAAGTAGTACAATAGTCAGACTCTGACATATACCGAAGTACAAAAATACATTTTTATTGTAAATTATTTACAATTATGTATTTGTACTTGGTTGTGTCCCACCTTCCCACGTGTGCATCTTTTTCAGACTCTGTGGAAAGCGGCTCGGACGACAAGGCCCGCAAAATCAAGACTGAGTATGAGAGGAAGCTGAGCGTGATGAACAAGGAGCTGCAGAAATTGCAGTCGGCCCAGAAGGAACACGCCCGCCTGCTTAAAAACCAGTCGCAGTACGAGAAGCAGCTACGCAAGCTCCAGATGGACGTGGGCGAAATGAAGAAGACGAAGGTAACTACGCCTTACACAACGCGCAGGGACCTCGCCATAGTGGAAGAGAATGGTTTAAACTTACTAAAACACACTTTTTTAGCATATTGTAAAAACACAACAAAGCAAGCTCCAAATGTCTTTAACATGTTGGTCATAAAGTGTCTGCGTACAGGCAGTTCCATGTCACCGTTTGATTTTATAGTCATGAAAGAGGAATGTTTTTATTAAAAAGGACTGTTTTCTTTCTGAATGGCTGTTATTGTAACCTTCATTATTTTATTTTGTTTTGTTGTTTGATCATTATTATTATTTTTATTTGTATGAATATATATATTTTTAATTATTATGTTTATTGCCTAACATCTGAACTTTTTATCTGGGGAGCAATAAAGGCTATCAAAATATATTTTCTGATGAACAATACAATTTAGAATGATTTTTTTTTTCTTCAATTATTTAGGTTCGCCTCATGAAGCAGATGAAGGAGCAGCAGGAGAAGAATCGCATGAACGAGTCCCGCCGTAACCGGGAGATCGCTTCCTTGAAGAAGGATCAGCGCAAACAAGAGGTGAGTGAACGCCCTGTGGTCCTCCTCTCTACGGATGAATGCGATGTACAGCCTTTTCTCCCTCTCCTCAGCACCAATTGAAGCTACTGGAGGCTCAGAGGAGGCAGCAGGAGCTCATCCTCAGGAGGAAGACGGAGGAGGTGGGTTTTAGCCTCTCGGTGGAACTCTTTTTTAAAAATTTATTATTAAGCTGTATTCAAGCTTCTTGCGTGTGTATGGTCAGGTGACGGCACTAAGGAGGCAGGCCAGGCCCACCTCGGGGAAAGTCATTCGGAAAATCAACCTGCCAGATCCCAACCAGGACTCGTCCCACCGTCCCCCTTCTGGACGTATGTACTCTGGACACGGCGCTCCCAACGGCACCAGGTACAACTCCATTAGCTTTATGGTGTTTTTTTTAAAAACTTTTTTTTACTGTGTGCTTACTGTAATGCCCCCACATGTGGGAAAAGAGAGCAACAGTCACGATGCACTTTTCAGCCGTTTATTGAACACCGGCAGAACCTGAAAACACAGAAACACAAGTCCACTATTGCAGGAGCTGCTGTCTGCCACCACTTAGGCCCAGATACTCACACAGTGTTACACGTGAACATGCATGTTTCTAACACAGACGTTGCTAGTGTTTTCTGTACATCACATGATTGAATTTTAGGATGTTTTCCTCACAGTGCAGAGGTCATGGGTTTGATTCGGGCCCTGGCATTCACACGCAAATATTTGATGATTGATCACGAAACTTCGCTTGATTGCTTGATTTGAATATTTATTGTCATTGCACGTCCCCCTTTTCAATGACTTTTGTGGTCCTATTGAGCCACATAAAAGCAGATACATCAATTTTTCTTTTCTGCAGGTCCTCTCCCAGGCGTGCTGGTGGAGTTTACTCCACCCGGATGGCCCGCAACAAATGGCAGTCTCTTGAGCGACGCATCTCTGATGTCATCATGCAGAGGATGACTATCTCCAACATGGAGAATGACATGAACCGCCTTCTCAAGGTAAGTTTGGGGCGGGGGGGAACAGACTAGGCGCGAACAAACAAATGTCGCAGCCAACGCAGGCTCCTTGGAAGTGGCCAAGAGGAAGCAGGAAGCGATCCAATAGATGGCCGCATATTGAAGCATCTTCTTTTGGAGCAATGCAGGGACCAAGTGCTAGAGAAGAAGGTCAAGAAGATGGTTGCATAAAAATAGAAGCTGTATTTCGTTCTTTAACTTGTTCCCTTTTTTAATAGAATAAGATTTGTCTTTAAAATATTTCTGAGAATTGTTTTTAAATGTTCATATTTTTCCGAGAATAGCATTTTTTTTTTTTAGGCGGGAGTTAGATTTTTTTTTCTCAGAAAAACAATCATTTTTTGAGAGTAATTACACTTTTTCAGAGTAAAGTTGTATTTTTCCTGAAAGCAGTCAAAAATGTAGATGAGTCATATTTTTTTTTCCAAGAATAAAATAACGATGAAATAAAATTGTGATGATCCGTTATTAATTCATTACGACATATTGAATAATCCTCTATCATTCATTTCGGCATATCTGTATAATTCTATGATATAATAATATTCTGCATTCCTATTAGCCCCATAATTGGAGCAGATGTCACAATACTTTTGTTCATGTAGCGCATCTTGAAGGGAGTTCGTCAAATAAAATACGTCAGGGTCAGGGTACCACTGGCCGGCGTAGTCAGGTGTCTTGTTTTCATAGCAACGTGAGGAGCTGACCAAGCGCAAGGAGAAAGTGGTGAAGAAGCGAGAGCGCCTGGCCAGGGAAGGGTCTGAAGCAGAGAAGGCGGTGGTCCCGCTCAACGAGGAAGTGGACGCGCTGGCTGCCAACATTGACTACATCAACGACAGCATTGCAGACTGTCAGGCCAACATCATGCAAATGGAGGAGACCAAGGTGAGAAAGTTGGATGGATGACAAGATGTTGGGATTTGTCGCTCATCCAGCTTTGTGTTGGTGTCAAGGAGGAAGGCGACACCGTGGACGTCTCTGCCGTGATTGGTTCTTGCACTCTGGCTGAGGCTCGTTTCCTGCTGGATCACTTTATGTCCATGGCTATAAACAAGGTATGTATATATGTACTGTAATTTATCATGATTAACATGCAATTTTTTTTTTTTTGCAAGGAAAATGAACCAAAATTGTCACCTAACTCATGACAACCTCTTAACTTGTTAGACACTTAGCCAGCTAGCTCTTCTTATGTTCCAAGATTTTACAGTAGATGGTAATCTCCGTGTATTGGTTGTGTCAGGGTCTGCAGGCTGCCCAGAAGGAGTCCCAGGTGAAAGTCATGGAGGGCCGCCTGAAGCAGACGGAGATCACCAGCGCCACTCAAAACCAGTTGCTCTTCCACATGCTAAAGGAGAAGGCTGAGTTCAACCCAGAGCTGGACGCGCTGCTCGGCAATGCCCTGCAAGGTAGACGCTGACATTTTGACTTTGACTGTTACCTTGTCATGTCGCATTAGGTTATTGTTTGTTGCATGACAATTTCCCATCATCTGATGCTGAATACGAACCGTTTTCAATAGAGCCATTTTGGACAAAGGTTTCGAGAAACTAACCTTTGATGAATCGATGGCATGTGTCTCAATGCTTTTGTCCATGTAGCACAGCCAAATGCCGCCTAATTAGCAACAGTAGAGGGCTCTAAAATGAGAATTATGTTATACAGTTTAAAATAATTGCACATTTTTACTGGCTTCAAAATTGGATCCTAGGACTAGACCTCTCGATACCTTTGTCCACTGTGCAGTATGAATTGTGTTGAAAACCAAGAGTACAGGTGGCAGCGTGTTCAGCGGGATTCTTTCTAAAGTGTCTTTACTTTCTTCACTTTTTTTTCCTTCCACCGCCCCAACCCCAACTGTGCTTATGATTTTTCCTTTTTGTGTGTGTGTGTGTGTGTGTGTGTGTGTGTGTGTGTGCGTGTGTGTGTGTGTGTGTGTGTGTGTATTTTCTGTTTCCACACGGTTTCCTTTTGTGTTGTGATGTTCTTACAGAGCTAGGTAACGTGCCATCTGGTAAGTAGAGCAACAATGTTAGTCTGCTTTGTGAGCGCATGCACTATATGCAACTAACTTGAACGGGTGCATGAGGTGCAGCCAGTTTTCTCTCTCCTCTCCTCCCCCCCAGCTCATCACACGCTGCAGCCTCCATGCTTTAGCACCCTGCTAACCCCCAGCACGCATACGCACACACACACACACACACACACACACACACACACACACACACACACACAGAAAGCATTCATGGATCACGTGACCTTCTCTGTAGGTCAACTCCAGGAACCCCAAACTAACGATTCCTTAAACCCCTTTCTTTCTCTTTTTTTTTTTCTGGCCGAGCTCTGTGAAGAAAGGCGTTCCTGTTGAAGCGACATGGCGCTGTCCTGACACCGCCTGCCATCATCCATCTTCCGCATTCACCTTCCCGAAATCCATTCTCCTCAGCCACAAACTACAGCGGAACCTCCAATGTCCAATTATTTTAAAGTGTGAGAATGAATGATGTAATTTTTTTATTGTCTTTTTTTTTTATTGTCTATATTGTATATCTCAGCATAAAAATGTAGTTTTCCCCTTAACCTAACAACAGAGAAAAAAAATGTCGAAAAAAATTGCAATAAGAGATTAAATCCAACAAGGAAAATATTATTTAGCTTTAATTCCATTAAAATATTTTATTGACAAAAAGTTTGTGTGTGCATGTTTTTTTTTTTATATATAAAAAGGTCATTTGGTCACCCTGAAAATAAAAATAGTAAAATAATAAAAACAATAAAAGCTGAGATTTAACAACGGAAAAGTAATATTTTAACCGAAATTGAGCAGCTTCTTGCTTATTGCAATACAATTATACAGCCATTGAGTGGTCTTGACTCTTGTGTCACCACTATTCAATTGGGAATCTTCGTCTACTGTGAATAGAATTTTTATCATGGCAACAGTTCATCTTTGGAACAGATAAATTCACTTTACATTACTTCCGACTAGGATTGGCATCTTTGACTTTGGAGGTTCCACTGGAAGTGACTATGCAGACGTTTTTGTGAAAGTGTGTCTTGACAGCTGTTTCTTTTTTCCCCACAGAAAACGGCGACGACAGCAGCAGCGACGAGTCGGCCGCCAGCCCGTCCGCAGACGGAAAGTAAGTTTGGTGTGGCATCGCTTCCTGTTTCTAAGACTATTAACAAGATGATAGCATACTGTATGAATAAAAGTCTTTGTATTGTCCTTTGAGCACTGTGCCGGATCTCATGAAGTTCTGCGGTGAGACCAAGTCCAGGAATAAGGTATTTGTCCTACCTGCTATATGACCAACCTGCCTTACATTTTTTTCTTTAATGATGGCCATCTTTTTTCTGCCTTTTATATAATTATACTTTTACATTTGAATTCACAAATATATCAGTCGCAATCTGTTCTATAAAGGTGACAAAAGCACAATCTAATTGGACACTGATGCCATACTGGGACATGATTTTTGGACGTGGGTTCACTTCCTGTCTTTGTAGGCCCGCCGGCGGACCGCCACTCAGATGGAGCTCCTTTATGCCAACAGCGAGGCCGCCCCCGACACGGCCGATTTCTCTGGCCCCTTATTGCCGCTAGCAGAGACGCCAGACGGTGGCAGTGACTTTGCCGCGCTCTCGCCAGGCTTCTCCTCCAAAATGTACAGCGTGTAAGTCCGCAAATCTCCTTGTCTTGACATGCATGCCCCTCATCATCATTCCGCCTCCCCCCGCCCCTTCCCCCATTTTTGTCGTTTTACAATTTATTTGTCCCCTTAAACTGTTGAATCCAACGATCAGTTCGGGCTCCAGAAAGCCATCGGGTGCTGAAAACCGAGCTTCGCCGGCACCCTCACCACTCTCTCGCAGGAAGACGTATGACAAGGCCCAAGCGGCAGGCGACAGGGCAAAGCTCAAGGAGATTAAACAGTAAGAGCCAGCAGTAACACCCAAAAGGCTACAGTAACTCCACTAATACAGTCCAGCTTTGGGGAAGCATGGCAATAAATTGATCAAGTGAAATAAGCAGTTTTTTCTAATTCTGTCCTCATTCTACTCGCTTCTCATCACTCTGCACCATCCTTGATTGTTTTTAGGGACGGTGTCTTGCAAATTCCTCCATCATTCTCCAGCCACCCCCAGCATAATAAAAAAACTCATTTTGTGCTTCAAAGTTGGTAGCCAAGTTCCTTTGGGAAGATGCCCTTAGAAAACAGCCTAAAATGGCCATTTCATACCAAATTGGAACCAACATTTTCAGCAGTTACTTCTTGAGACTTTTTTGGGGGGTCTATTAATGACTGACAAGCTCACAAAATATGATCCCAGATGCCTCACGACCAATTGTTGAGTATATCACACTACACGGGCTACAACGTGTCAAGACAACTCAAAATCAGCTACGAGATGCTACGTTGGTCTGCAACACGTCTGTCGGCTCAAAATGATGTCGCCATTTGATAATGTGGGACAAAAGAATTAACAATTGCATACATCATACATCATACATCTTTCTTTATATTTGACTGATTTCGACTACTGACTACTACTCCTCACCATCATGATGTCTTTTATGCTCCTTTTCAAGTGATAACTATCATCACTTGCATGTTTTGACATAGCAATCAGTAATGTGGCAATTAAACTGGATAAATTACTTCCATGGTTGACTCCACAAGTGTCCCAACAGTTTACTCATCTCAGTAGCACCACCTATGTCTCAATACAAGTAACAACACTTTTTCTTCTTGCTAAAATGTGACATGAATGCATGTGATGGGGAAAATACCATCTCCTTTTCCCCCCCCCTTTTCTTGTGTTTCATCCCTTTTGTGTCCACCTTATTCAAATAATCTGAACTTTCCACAGAGCTGCATGACTCTGCGCCTGAGAGTGAGTGAGGAGCACCTTCCGGTGAAGGTAGTCACGCCTGCGATGTTTGACGGCATGCAAATGGACGTGTTTGTTTGATTCTGCAGGGGCGTCATTCATCCGGTGACGTCCACCAAGAGCCGCTCAACCTCGCTGCTGCAGTGCGTCCACGTGGCCGAGGGGCACAGCAAGGCCGTCCTCTGCGTCGACTGCACCGACGACCTGCTCTTCACTGGATCCAAGGGTATATTTAACCGATGAACCGACGTGCCCCCATTCCATCACTTTCATTGTGAATCCTCAAAATGAGCAAGTAGTGAGCCCTGAAGTTAACTCAGTATCTGCTTCAAAGCAAAATAGGTGTTTTCCTGTTTAATTTTGGCCATGCGTCCTGGAGCCTTTTTTTGTGCATCCTGTTACTCAATTTCATTCTGGCCCTTATTACCCACAGTGCCCGCCATGCCGGACACTGACTCTGCTTCCTTCTTTTCATTCAGACCGCAGTTGTAAGGTGTGGAACCTGGTGACGGGTCAGGAAATTATGTCGCTGGCCGGACACCCCAACAACGTGGTGTCGGTGCGCTATAGCTCCAGCCTGGTGTTCTCCGTCTCCACTTCCTACATCAAAGTTTGGGACATCCGCGACTCGGCCAAGTGCATTCGGACGCTCTGGTGAGTGAACGGTTAGGGAGGGGGCGGCGGCACCACAATGTTTCGTACGTCCATGTTTATGTTCTGGGGACCTTATCGTCTCAACCCTCTCTGCCTTGGATCTTGTGTTGCGACTTATCCTTCAATTAGTGTTCCAGTTAGACTAAACATGGGCACTCACAACATAGTGGAGCGACATTACCACTTTCAATTGTGCTATGTACGTTATCAGCTCTGTGTTTTCTCCTACTGGTTTTCCATTATGTGGAGTCATTTCAAGTGATTTGCATTCCAGTGGATTAACATGGACACAAACAACATGGTGGACCAATCTCGTTATTATTAGTTCTGCAGTGTCTTTTCCTCTGATAAGGGTTCCAGTAATCAGACATGGTCCTTCCAATGTTGTGCGCGCTCATCTTTATGTTCTACAGCGCTATTTCATGGTACCCAATTCTTTCTGCAGCTCCTCCGGTCAGGTTAATGTCGGCGACGTCTGTGCATCCAACACCAGCCGGACGGTCACCATCCCGGCAGGTGAGAACCTGATCAACCAGATAGCACTGAACCCCAACGGGACGGTCCTGTACGCCGCGGCCGGAAACTCTGTCAGAGTGTGGGATCTACGAAGGTGAGCCACTTGGGCTTCATCATTTCTTTATATCTGTATACTAAATAAAAATTCACAATGTATTGACCGCAATCAATTATTTCTCTAGGTTTGCATCCACTGGGAAACTCACCGGCCACCAGGGACCGGTTATGTGTTTGACTGTGGACCATTCGGGGAATAATCAGGACGTGGTGATCACTGGCTCCAAAGACCACTATGTCAAGGTGTGTTATTCCAGTAGACCAGAGATGGGCAACTTAAATGCTGGAGGGGCCGCAAATTTTCATCAGTGATACTGGGGCCACGTAACACCACACACACTTCCTAACCAGATGTATGACAAAAATGATATTTTAAATATGGACAAAATGCATGCGGAAAAATATGTGCTCATCATGTATTATATTTTCATAATACATTTTGCAATGTATGTATTAAAGTTCTACGATGCTAACCCAACAACAACGGACTTGAAGCAAATGGAAAAATCAGCATCTTTTTTTTTCAGTGCAAAGTGCTCTCTTGCATAAAAATTACAGTACAATTCAAGGACGACACAAAACTGCTGAATAAGAAACCAACATTTTTCCCACAAAAATTAATTCACTCAAAAGTATAGTATGATTGAGCTACTGTGGTTCTTGCATATCATTCTAAATCTGCAAAAAAAATATTAGTTCTACTCAGATTGCTGCATAGGGGGCAGTATAAGACAATTTTTTTGTGTGTTTTTTTTTTTTTTTTTTTTTTTTTTTTTAAAGTATAACTTTTCAGCACTTTTTTTCTGATTTTGATTTTCCGGAACTTTCCCCATTGTCGCTGTCACCTAATCAGCGTTTTTGGAATAATTTGGGGGGGTTTGTAAAATTACATCACTTTTTTTTTCTTTTCAAAAATGAATTGCTATTAACCCTTTCATGCACCCTGTAACCTGATAACACGGTAAGCCGTCCACTGTAGTAACCGCTGTCCCCGAAAGGGTTAATCAAGGAACAACTCAATGTGGTTCCGGGCCGCATGCGGCCACGAGACTGACATGTATAATAAGATGGTATAGTCACACAAATCACATCTATCCCTCACTGTGGAAGCTTATATATCAATTCTGTGTGTGTGTGTGTTAACAATGTGTTTGCAGCTCTTTGACGTGGGTGAAGGCACCCTGGGAAGCATCAGCCCGATGCACAATTTTGAGCCCCCCCACTATGACGGGATCGAGTCTCTGGTAATCCAGGGTGACTTCTTCTTTAGCGGCTCCCGCGACAATGGCATCAAGAAGTGGGACCTGGACCGCAAGGACTTGCTGCAGGTGCTGCTAGCATAATCGCATGCGATTAGTGGCCCATCAGAACCTGGCACGTGAATGTTCTAAAATTTTGTGGGCGTGTCCGTGTTCCGGGAGGTACTGTACGCCCCAGATATTTTATCACCAAGTCAAATCTTGCATCATATCGAGACTTATCTTCAGTGCAAGCCAGCATCAAGTCGATGAGAGATGTGGTTGCTCCACAATGTTGTGTGTCCATGTTTATGTTCCGGGGAGCTTTTGCGGCTTGTTCCGCCATTCTTTTTCTGCATTTTAATTTTGTTTTGAACTTCACTTGATCCAATTCTTTTTCTCGCATCTCTTCATAATCAAGTGCTTTCAACTTTTCTCCCACCAGCAAGTCCCGAACGCCCACCGCGACTGGGTGTGCGCCCTGGGCGTGGTCCCCGGCTCTCCAGCCCTCCTGAGTGGCTGTCGAGGAGGGGTGCTTAAACTGTGGCACACGGACACTCTGGCTGGACTGGGCGAGCTCAAGGGTCATGACAGCCCCATCAACGGCATCTCCACAAACGCCAGCCATTTGTTCACCGCCTCTGAGTGAGTTTACGTGTTCATTCGGGCCACTAGACTGATACGGATTTTATTTGAAAGACTAGACTGAAAAGTCATAAACATGTCTATGGGTCTGATTGAGTCAACCTCTTATGCTGATTGTGTGGTGGTTATGTCGGCCGTCTACCTTTTATGGGAGTTTTCACACATGGAAATTGAGCAACACATCATCGCAAACGTCACTTTTGGGGGAAGGGGCCTTGAAGAAGGTCTGTGCCTTTGATATTTCAAATGAAACCTCCATTTTGATTTGATTTTGGTTGTTTTTGCCTCTCAGCGACCGGACAGTGAAGATCTGGCGTGCACGCAGCGGCGGACTGGACGGCCCTTTCGAGGCGGTCGACAATGCGGCAGACGAAGGTGGCGAGTAACTGAACGCATTCGCAGCACCTTCTGATGGACACTGTTATGATGTGCACTTTGATTCCCCCGATGCTTCTCTCTAACCCCTAACACACATACGGCCACTAAGTGATACTCAAGGTTGCTTTAAGTACGTTTTCCGAACATTAGATATTATTAGCTGTAGTCTTGAATGGAAGGTGTCGGGTTGCTAGCCGGTCTAAACAACCCGGCACTGCGCTTCCTGTTGCTGGATGTCCTCAAGTCACCGCTTGTACAAGTGTCTTCATGTGCCCCCCCCCCCCAAAAAAAAAAGCCGTCAGTCCCCTTTAGTGTTCTTTTAAGCCTTGTGACATACATACAAGGCATTTTAGTTAATTACGTGTTCAAAGGTGACAATTGATGCTGGATGTGTCTTATTCACGTAACGTAGAGCAGACTTGGTTGTGGGGTGCGCGGCCTTCATGTTGCCATGTAATGCAATCGGTCTTCTATTCTTGGCACGTAAGTCTTAAAAAGTAGCTTTGTTTTTTTTTTTTTTTTTAAGGAAGAAGCCCATTAACACTATATATCCTCCTTATAGGCTACATACTTTGACGTGGTCAGCACTCCAAACACACATGGACCTGCCCGGTACTTTTGCGTCTCATGATACTTAATGTATGTTGACATGGGCCATGCGCAATCTGTATGTCGATGCGGTTATATTCTCACTGCAAAGATTACCACATGGTCCGTGCTCACTCCACAAATGTTGCCACACAGTCACAACGACCATGTAGGCTGACATGGTCAGTGCTCACTCTGTGTATGTGATGTGGGCCATGCACATTTCGTGTACGAATGTTATTAACATGGCCCGGGCTCACAACATGTTGGCGTATGTTGACGCAGTCCACTCTCTCTTACTACATATGCGTTAACTGACTTGTATGTATGTATGTTGCATTAGGCACTGTAGCTACATGTTGACACGGTCTGCACTCTCTTTATGTCTGTGATCACCACGCGTATACAGACATGCTTCGTGCTCATTATAAATACACAGCGGGGTCCGTGATCATTACACCTACAGTAGACACGGAGACACACTTACTTGGCATACAGTAAAAAGATGTGGTCTGCACTCACTTCAGGCGCATTTGACCGCATGTTCACCCTTATGTTGTCGCCTTGCTCACCTTTATCAGAGGGCTTCTTGTCGCACACCGCAGGCAAGGCCCACTCGTGAGCATAGCAAAGCGCTGTTTATGTCATTTTATGTCACAGATCTTTTTTGTCGAGGCGAGGCCTTCAGATTTCGTGAATGTTTTGGTGATGATGACGCGAACACGAATGAATGTTTTTTTTTTTTTTTTTTGGGACCACCGATTGGAACCCTTCCTGATGTGATTTCATTAATTCACGCTTAGATTCTTATTGTTGTTAACAGTCAGTTTCGGTCCCTGTTTGACATAATTCCGGACCTTCCCTCTCCTTTTGGAATTGTAGAAGCCACCTTCCAAATGGCCGTCTCTGTAGCTATTCTAATGTCAGATGATGCCCAGTGAGAATAAACGCCATCTGTCAAAAAACAAAACAGATCCCCGGTGCTTTTATTTATGCACACAACACCGTTCCCCCAATATGTATATATAATTTTAAAAACAATTCTTTCCAACTACTCGTGTAAAAATATATATGACAACAAACTGAAATATTCCTGCTTTCCATCGGACACATTCTTCAAAACCAGGACTCTGGGCAATGGGCTATGGCTGTGAAATAATTAACAAATGTATCCACCAGATGGCAGCAGCGGCAAGGCAAACAGAATACAGTAAAACTGTGGAGGTGCACGGTCTCAAGAAAACACTACACGTGTTTGCCCAAGTTGATTGTGGTCTTCACTCACTGCATGTCCATTGATGTGGTCTGCGTTTACCACTCATATTGTGTGGTCACAAGCACTGACATGATCTCAAAGACCATGTCAACAGACATGCAATTCACCATGTGATGGTGGGTCTCTATATTGATTATGGCCCATGCTCGGTAGACATCATCTGTACACACTACACGTATCCTGACATGGTACCTGCTCACTACATCTGCGGTGGATATAATAAGTTTCCACACCCCTATTTAAATGCTAGGTTTTTGTGATTTTATACATAAAGGAATAAGGTAAATTTAAATCAGTTGGAAACTTATAAATAGCTGGGGGTGTGGCTGTGTTTGGAATTAAACAGTCACATTCAAACCATTTAAAGTGCCGGTGATTTACCCCAAATATCATAATCCTGTTCTCGTAGGCGTTTCCTGACATTTTTGTCGTCACGTTTTACAGCACAAGCCGCAGAGAGATTCCACAAAATTTATTTAATCAGGAAAAGATTACTAGAGCATCTCAGCGCTATTTGGATTTAATCAGAGCCAATGTAAATAATGGCAGCTGTTTACTGACGCCCATTTATATGAATTTCAATGTAACTGCTTAATTCTGACCACAGTCACATTCAGAGTTAAGCGAGTGTGCGCACACTTTTAAAAACCCCAATTACCTTGAATATTTTTACATCCCATCGTGGTCCGGGTTCACCTGATGTTTTTTGGCACGGTCCCTGCTCAACATCTGCAAGTATCATTACAAACTTTTCAGTTCAACTTGCCGTGTTGTTTCCTCAGAGCCTCCCGGGCAGCAGCACGGTGATGATGCTTATTAAAGCGCGGGCGTCCATTCATCCTCATTTAAAAACAGCAGCGGCACACGCACCTTTTTTTGCAGCATTGCACATGTGGGAGGAGATGCCGACTCAGCGCAACTTTTCATCAGGAACACCCTTTGAATGCGGGGGACGGGGGAATCTTATTAAAGACCTTACCTTCTTTTGTTCGTATGCTATGCTAAGATAAGGCCGCTTTCTTGTTTAGATGCTATTGTGGTTAACTTATTCTATCTGAACCTCGATCAGATTGATGTCAACATTTTTTGTCTGACGTTCTGTCCGATAATACAATGTAGTCGTGTTGTCTTCAAGCTCTGATGCTGACTATGTGCTTGTGTGTGGACAGGATCTTGTGCACATGTCGTCTGAGAGCAGCTGCAATTCAATGTGAGACTTTTAATGCTCTTCAACTGTCAGCTGCACTCCCGCCAACTCAGGAGAAAGAGAACTGTCCACCTTATTATTTGGACCATTTGGGGTTTGGGGATGAGGAGTGGGAGTGAAGTGGTTCGAGGTTTTGTTTGTCTTTGGAACGTCACGGTAAGCCATAGGTGACCCCCTGATGTGGATCAAAGTCTACTAGTGCACTAACAAGCTCAAAAATCAATTTCCAACAAACCCTGTCAACTTATTTTGTCCCTGCTGTAGGTAAAGGTTTGCAGCAAACCACATGGATTTACGTCATATTAACAGCCTTGGTGAGTGCTTTCAAGATCTGGCACCTTTGAGTCATGACCTTGGGTAATCAAAAAAAATATATCTTTTTGGGCTATAAAATATCCTAAATTTGGCCATAGACTGCCCACTCTTGCAATAATATAGATAAAACTCCGAGACAAACCACATGGTCTCGCATGTCATATTAACGGTTTTGATGAGCACATTCTCAATCTGCCATTATTTATTCAGCGTGATATCGTGAAATGAAGCAATGATGAAAAAATACAATAGGTCTAACTTAGAGACAAACCAAATTGTCTGGCATGTCACATTAATGGTCTTGATGAGCATTTGTTTAATCTGCCAATGAAAAAAGAATGTTAGTCCTCAAATGTCTGGAACAACAATTGCTACTCAGCATATTGTTCATGGGTGGGAACATTCGACTTTTGCTGAAATGTGACATCCATGTTGACCAGAACCGACAGATGTCCTGTGTTTTTCTCTCAGCTTCACGCTGGGCTTGCTAATTAGCTTTGTCTTGCTCAGGCAGCCATCTAGCTTGTGGAGAGAGAGAGAGAGAAAGAGTGCTTCGCCGCCATCTTTGTTTTGGGCACGCTGGGAACCAAAGTGATTAGCTCTCACCCAATTGTGGTGAAGAGTGAAACCGCCATTCAACTGGAAAAGACTTTTAGGAGAGAGGTTAGCATGGATGTCATGTTCCCAGCTTGCCATTTTGCTCCGGGCATGTCCGAAGTGGTCAGGGTGGTCCCCGAAGGCGAACCATCTGCCGAGTCACAGCTGGGCTGGACCACCTTTGCGCGACTTTGACGCGACTTTCTTTTCCAAGATGCCGATTTTTCATGGGAGACACAGGAAGTGATGTCACATGCAAATCATGCGCATCGTCAGTCATTGTCAAAGTTAGTTTTGAGGGCTAAACTTATTGTTGCACTTGGAAAGCAGTCAATTGCATATTGTTGGTTTCAGCCACAGATACTTGAAATGGAAATCTCTCCATCCTTGGTCGGACCCTCTCACCTGCTCTCTTTGTCTCTATCTACCTCATTCCCTCCCTCTCTCCCTTTTACCTTCTCTCCCTCCCGCTCTCACCCACCTTCTCTCACTCATCTTCTCTTGCTCTCTCTCTCCTCCCTCTTTTTTCTCTCTTCACCTCTCTTTCCCGAACCCTCTCTCATTGCCCTCTCTCTCTCTCTTTCTCTCTCTCTCAACTTGTGTCCCCCTCTCTTTCTCTTCCTCCGCTCTTCTTCCCCTATCCTTTCCCTCCATTCCCTCTCTATCTCCCGCTCGTTCCTTTTCTCGCTCTCACCTTCCCCGCACCTCTCCCTGTCCTCTTTCTAACCTTCTCTCCTTCTCCTCTCTTGTTCTCTTTCCGTGCTCTCTCCCTCGATCTCCCTCTCCCCACTCCCTCTCTCTCTTTCCATCTCCGCCTCTCCCCTTCCTCACCTTTTTCCCCCTCTCCCCGTGCTCTCATCTCTCCCTTTCCCGAGTTCCGTCACTCCCTCTGCTCTTGCTTCTTTCATATCTCTTCCTTTCTTTCCATCTCTTCTCCCCACTCCCTCTCCTTCCCCCTGTCATTCTGTTCGTTCACTCTCTTTCCCTCTCTTCTACCCTATTCGATCTTTCTCTCTGCCTCTGTTCTCTCCCTCACATTCTCTTGTTCACTCTCTTTCTCGCCATCTCCATCAATCTCTTTTTCTTTCTCCCTCTTGCGGAATCTCTCGCTCTCTCTCTCTCTACCCACCCGCCCCAATCCTCGCAGTGAGTGGTATAGTAGAGGTAAGAATGTAATTATTACACACAGCTGCTTTAATCCACAGCCAATTGAAATCCTTCACTCTCTATCTCTGCCCTCCACCACTCTCTCTCTCTCTCTCTCTCTCTCTCTCTCGCTCACTTTCTCTCGAGTCACACACTACCAGCTTTTTCCCGCGCTCAGAAGCATCCACACGTCGGCGCTCGGTCGGGAGCAGCGGACGGAGGAGCCTCCTTCATTCCTCCTCCCCAGTCTCACTTCCACTTCCGCCAACTCCCTTTCGTCTCCTTCACCGCGATACGACCACCGGCATCCTCATCATCATCATCATCATCATCCAGCTCATTCCTATCCCTCTCATGCCCGCCACTGAGGCTTTTCTGCAGATTGGAGCATGGCGTGCATCGGGGACGCGGACCCCTTCACCGCGGCCATCCCCGCCACCAAAGTTGAACTCACCGTGTCGTGCAGGTACGGAACATGCATCGTTCACTTTCATGTGTTTGTGTCAAGCGTGATGCTTCATTTTGGCAAAGCTGTCATATGCGTGAGCTGACACGTGCAGAGATGTTTCACCCTGGTGCCAAGATGGTGTTTTTTTTTTTTAATTAGTATTTTTATTACTATTATTACTACACAGTGCTTTCTTGACATAGTAGGTTCATTCATTCTGTGACCAAGCTCACAACTCAATTTCCCCCATTAAAATGAATTGAAATGTCATAACTCCATTGCAGCCCACCAAAAAAAAAAAAAATGGTTCGACGTTTTTAATAATTGAAAAAATTAGCACTGCATTGCATGAAACATAATAAATGAGAATATTGTATCCGTGTGCTGAATGTGAACCTTTTAAGGGCCGCGGCAAATTTGAGTTGGCCGGTAGTCTGCTTGTGAGTGGCAGGGCGTGACTAGTGGCCTACAGCAGCTCCTTGAAAGTGTTCTCATTTTATATTTTAGTGTTTGACAGACTTTTCCATTCGATAAACACTGATAAAAGCATCATTGGCTGTCTTTCCTTGCCCACATGTGAGGGCATTATAGTACCTTTGCGACCTCATTTCCAACAAAAATTGACCCAGTGAAGGCTCATAATGTGGAAAGCTCATAATGTGGAAAGCTCATAAATTGGTGGACTCATTCAGTAAGCCAAAGTACGACCGTATCTGCGTTATTGTACTAAAGGAGGATTCTTTTTGTTGTTGTCGTATTTGATCCGATGAGGTGGTGTACCTAATGAAGCGTCCAAACATCAATTGCACGGTGGTCTGACCGGCATCCTCCCTATTGTTGAATATTATTTCATTTTGTGTCACATTGCAGTATTGTTGTATGAGTAATTAGTTGTGAACA